TTGCCTTGGCTTACAGATAGAGAGAGTACAAAATGGGATATTCGTCCATCAATCTAACTATACTAAAAGAGTACTGAAACGATTTAATATGGACAAAGCTAATCCCCTTAGTACTCCTATGGTTAACCGAACATTGGATGTTGAAAAGGATCCATTTCGACCTTGTGAAGAAAATGAAGAAATACTTGGTCCTGAGGTACCATATATGAGTGCAATAGGGGCTCTTATGTATCTTGCTAATTGCACCAGACCAGATATATCTTTTGCTACCAACTTGTTAGCAAGATATAACTCGTCACCTACAAGGAGACACTGGAATGGAATCAAGCATATATTCCGTTATCTCCAAGGAACAATCGATCTGGGATTATTTTACTCAAATGATAAAAAACATGAAATGATCGGTTTTGCAGATGCAGGATATTTATCAGACCCACATAAGGCGAGATCTCAGACTGGCTACGTTTTCACTATTGGTGGAACTGCATTTTCCTGGCGTTCTCAGAAACAAACACTAGTTGCTACATCTTCAAACCATGCTGAAATCATTGCACTGCATGAAGCAACTAGGGAGAGCATCTGGCTCAGAAATATGACTCAACACATTCAACAAGCCAGTGGATTATCAAATAATAAAGATCCGACGGTCATATTCGAAGACAATGCAGCATGTGTCGCTCAGACCAAAGAAGGATACGTCAAGAGTGACAGAACTAAACATATCCCACCAAAGTTCTTCTCATACACTCAAGAGCTTGAAAGGAACAAACAGATCAAGATTCAATACATCCGATCATGTGATAATGCAGCAGACTTATTTACGAAGGCGCTCCCAACTACAACATTTCGAAAGCACGTCCATAACATTGGAATGAGACATCTTCGAGATTTACACGGATGATAACTCGAGGGGGAGCATGTGCGGCTGTACTCTTTTTTCCTTATCTCGGTTTTTTTCCCACAGGGTTTTCCCGAATAAGGTTTTTAATGAGGCAGCATAAACGCACATTGCATAGTGGTAATTCCAAGGGGGAGTGTTATAAACAAGTGGAATGAACCACTATGCATGAATAGTGACATTTCACTATTTGAATAAATGGGAATAGTAATAGATATGAATGTGGTGTAAATTATTGTATGTTATGTCGGGAAAGTTTGCCTATAAAAGGCACCCGAAATGCAATGGAAAATGTACATTCAGAAGAAGAAAGAAATACTGAGTATAATTCATATCCAATTGTGTTCTTTATCTTTCCGTTTTTATAACACATTTACTTTTGTATTAGTTCCACACTTTAGTTTTACTTTTCACGGTTAACACGTTTATACCAACCAAACTAATAAGATGTTGATATTCTTGAAACTAACAAAGCAATTTACCTTCTGAGTGTTCATAGCTTAAGTTGAGTATCCACCAAATTCCACATAAATGCGAAAAAGGGTCCTTCTCTCAAATACTTTAAATATAACTTGAAATCTCATTATTACCGCTTGGCCCTCAACAACAACAAAGACAGAAAAGGAGAGATGAAGAAGAAAATGATTTAAATGTGTGTGCTTATGTCTTGTTGTGTAAGTGTATGTTTATATTTTTTTTAGAAGTATGTATTCTCCACTAGTGAGAGTTTTTTAGTTTCTTTTATTTTACATTGTGGCATTAGGCTATTTTGAGTAGGCCTCCTGTTTTCAGTTAGTTAACAGGACTTAATTGTGTGCTTGCAGTAATAAAATTTGCAATTAAAAAAAATGATCTAAATGCGGAAGTTTAGAGTTTTTTTTTTATCATGATTATTATTTTTTTCACAGCAAAGAACTAAAATAACATTAACTCAACAAAGGTACAATCGAAGAACCAAATGGTTCCTAGTAAATCCACCTCTTACAATAGCAAGTGAAGATACAAGAACATTCGAAAACATCACCTTTCCCTTCACGTACGGCTAATTTAGCCAAGTCCACTACTCTAACATCAATCTTATCAATTAGGGAAAAAAGAAAACGAGGTAAAGCAATTCAAGAACCAAATATCATTACAATAGATTGAGCGATACACATAATTTTCCTTGTATAGAGAGACGATAAACAGTGTATGGAAAAGCTCTGCAAGTGTATATTAATTATGTAAAGAGTGTATAGAGAATGTAATGTATGAATGAGCATATTTCACTCCCTTATATAAGGAGGGTGTTACTTTATTGTCCAAGAAGATGGATTGCCCAAACTGCCCAAACTGCCTATTCGTACTGTCTAATTCTGTTAAGCCACGAGGTCCTATCCACGCGGTGTTCTTATCTTAATAATATTCTTTCTTATCAATTAGTCTTTCTTATTAGACAGTCTAGCTAATTGTGCGATCGACCTAAATTACCTCAAGGTAGAGTGTTGCCAATACTGAGTCATATGCTCTGCTCATTGGTCCTACGACCAGTGATGCCTTCAGGTTGAGTTTCAATAAAGCCATACAAGAGCTCTAGCTCGACCTTTGTGTACTCCCTGGATTCGTGACGTCCTCATCGACATGAGGACTCTTCGACCTATAGCACCTTCGGTCTGGTTCACCTAGTTCAGTCAGGTTCCTTCTCAGATCAAGTCGGCACACTATGGTATCTCATATTAGTCACCATACGCCATTAACCAAATCACTGACAAACTCATCCAAGTCGAATATCTAAATTTCAACAAAAGATCAAATTCAAGTATCAAATTGAAAATAGAAAGTATCTAAGTTAAGTCGTACTGCAACTATCCAACTGTTACGAATATCACTTGGCATGGGACTGGGTGATTCGTAATCACTGTCAACACCATTTTCCTGCTTCATTTTACTATGTGTGTACAACAAATACGTATAACGCAGCCGCTCCAAAACATCATACTTTCTCTTAGTAATGTCGGTATCTGCTATGAAATGTTCGACAAATGAAGCAACAAATATACCAC